GGGGGATCCAGGGTGAGTCCCGGGCGCGGGGCGGGCCCGGGGATGGCGAGGGCGAGGCCTCGAGCCGCGCCGCGGGGCTCCGGTGCGCCCCCTCCCCACCCGCACAATATGGCCGGGCGGGGGGCGCGGAGGAGCGGGTGGTCGGCTGGCAAACCTGGGGATCGCGGCCGGCGGCCGCCCGGAGCTCGCGCCGGGCCCTGGGGACTCGAGCGCTCTGCCAGGCGGAGCCTGATTGGGGAGCTCCGGGGGTCGCGCTTCCAGCACCCCAGCTTCCACAGCAGACAGTCTGGGCTTTCTCGAGATGTGGGGGTCCTGGGTCCTGCCCTTTAGCTTGTCCAGGGCGGGGGGGGCTTGGTTCTCTCCCAGCAGATGCTCCTGGGGCCGCCTTTTCTCCCGCCAAGATTGTGGGGTTCGGCGATGGGGTCTCGCTTCTTTGCCGGTCCCTGATGCTAAGACTCCGTGCGCACCCTAGGTTACAAGGGTAGGGGCCTCTAACCTTCCCTTTCAGCTTGAGGTGTACCTGCTTTCCCTTCCCTGCCGCTCTGATGTTCTGGGCACAGGAGTCACATTTCCCCTTCCTTCGCTCAGCCCCTTGGGTTCTGCTGGGCATCCCCCTCCCACCACCACCTGGGATACCCATGCCTCTGGAAGCTGTTAGGAGGTAATGGGGCGAGCAGGCCCCTAAACCTTTTTGGAGCTTGGCCTCGGAACCTCTAACCCTGTGAAACCTAGTTCCCCAGCTGTTGATCTGAATTTAGGTGTATTTGCCTTCCTCCTGGCCTTCCCCACCCCACCCCAGGGGGCCTATTCTGTTTGCTAATCAGTTTGAGGATGGCTTTCTGGTGGAATCCTAGAACCTGCTTCAACTCCCCCAGTATTTAAAGATCCCACCAGTGGACTGGCTCCCTTTGGTCTGTACTTTTACCATCGGCATACGATCCCTCTTCTCAGCCCACCGCACCCTCACCCCTTACCTTCCAAACTTCCACAGCGGTTGTGCTAAGGTCCTCCCCCACCTTTCCCACTACAGAGGTGGAGACCTTTCCGTGGGACACTCCACTGGCTGTGTTGTTTATGAGGCTTCGGGGGCTAAGAGCAGATGAACCCCTAAAATACTTGATAGTTGTCTCAAATGTGTTTTGGCATTGGGGCTGCAGATGAAGGTTATATTTGGCAGTTATATCGAAGTGATTATTGACGCACAGATGGGTCAGGATTGCATTTGATGCTCCATTGTACAAAGCCTGCTGCCCTGACTTCTTAGCAACCCTTAATCTTCCAGCAATGGGGAGATCAAGTATGTGTGTTTGGAACTACACACACACACCACACGCACACACACACACACACATGCACTCCGGAGATCAAGTATGTGTGTTTGGAACTACACACACACACAGAGGAGATCAAGTATGTGTGTTTGGAACTACACACACACTGCACACACACACACCGCACGCACACACATGCGCACACACACGATACCCAGGTGGGTCCCAGGTTAGTAATTCAGACCCTCAGTAAAAGACACCATGCTGCTTTGGCTGCTCAAAAAACAAGTTCATCATCTCCTGCTTTGATATTTGTCCCCAGTGGTAAAGCCTGTGCTGTGGGGTCTTTGTTCACTGGCTAATTCTTCTGTTAGGCACTGTGGTGTGTTCTTCGGTATTGCTGCTCTGTAACAGAGACCTGTGCTGTGGAGACCGATAAATATGCTTAAGGTATATGAACAGAGCCTTATGTTTGTGGGGAGATGATGATTTTCACGAGTAAAGACGTTTGCTGGGTCTTCTGGGCCATGTTTTTGGAATGTGTGACAATGCTGTTTCTATAGTAGAATAGTAAAAATAAGGAGACTCAGTCTTCAGGTTTGTCATTTTATGTGTGTATGAATAAATCTTTACGTCCCTCCAGTAGGAACTCGTATGTTGCCTTGAACGTTTCCAAGATTTGAAGCAGTCGTTTCCCTGTTGATTTGGTGTAGCTGGGTTTTTTTCTTGTTGTGAATCTAGTTAAGAATGTTTAATTGGTAATCCAACTGGTTCCAAATGAAGCAGTGTTTTTTGTACCCTCCCTAAAATGTTTGTTGGATGAGGGTGGGTGGTCATAATAGGGAGTTGATTTCTTTTTTTGGTAAATGGGAAATTAAATTGTGTGTCCAGCAAACATTGTCTATGGCCTTTAAACTTCTTGGCCAGACACTACAGTTTTTTCCGGGACACATCTAGTTGCCAATAGTGCATGCTGCAGAGACCACTGTTGCAAAAGGCTTAAAGTAAAACGTCAGTTCTGGGAAAGTAGAGACTGTAGGACAACAAGTTGATCTCCACCCCCCTTCCTCCCCTGCATTTCCTATACAGTGCTCCACTGTGTGGGCTGGAGAAGGGACAGAGCTAGGCAGTTCTGATGTATGGGAACATCCTATGAGGGCAGCAAGAGATAGGTGTTCTATTAATTGATTAATTAATGGGGCTTAATAAAAAAACTGATAAGGAGAATGAGTTTCAGGCTAGAAACAGCATCAACTTGATAGGCATGCTATGTTTTAAGATGGATCTTTAGAAATTTTCATATTAGTATTTTAAAATGTAAAATTAAGTTAGCAGAACATGACATTCATTTTTTTAAAGACAAAAGCAACAAGAGAGGCATTTGAGGTTCTGATAGGAACATTTTGAATTTCTGTGAACAGACTAAAAATCTAATTGCAAGCCAAGTCTTGTAATTTTGTTGAGTGGGCATGGATTTGAAAGACTGGAAGTGAGCTCCTGTAGAGGGAAAGGGAACCTCTGATTAGTTTGTTCAAACAGCTCCTGGGACAGATGTGATAAAGCTTATTAAAATGGCTACTCCGGTTAAAGGTTAGAACTAGATGGAGGGAGGGAGGAGGCTGTTATTCAGCCCCAGAACTTTGTTTCCTAACAGGTTGTCCTTGAACAAGTGACTTAACCCTTCTGTGACTGCCTCAGTTTTCTCTCTGGAAAGTAAGAAAATATTGTGTGCCACTTTTATTGGGACATTTGTGAGACTGACTTACTGATAGCCAGTTGGCAGGGAGGTATTTTTAGACACAGTTTCTGACTTGAGTGAGTAAACAATGTTGGGTTACTTTTTATCTTATGGGGCAGAATAACATACTCTGATAGACATACCACATGTCAGTGTGGTTAATTCTTATTTGTGCTTTTTGGTAGGCGGGGTTTGGATTTCCTCAAGTTAATTTCTGAAAGGCAGGCTTTTCCTTCATAGACCAGGCAGCATACCTGTGCTAATCAGAGACAGTTTGAAGGGAGTGACCTGCTTTAGACTTTATTGGTTGGCAATGTTATGCAACTCTGGGTATGTTTATGGCACTATGTAAATGTTACATAAGAACTAAGAACATGGAGGCTGAGAGATGGCCAGAGTGGTGACTGAAGACAGGAAGGTTAGACTGAGGACTTCATGGAGCCCTTGGGAGCCTGCAGGCAGTACAGGAAGACACTGCACTTTCTTTTCTTCTAAAAACCTTTTTTAGATGATTGCACCTTTCAGGGGGCCTGCTGTGTTATAAATAGGTTTATTCTCCACCGGTGAGCTAATTGTAACCTTGCTACCAAAATATGAATCAGTAAAGAGGAGACGGGAGAGGAGGGGACGAGCTGATTCTTCCAGCTTGTCCTGCTGAAGCTGCTTGTTGCATTTTAGAACGTGAGTTGAATTGCCTTGCAGTCTGTTCTCATAATAACTCAAGGAGAACAAGGTGTCGAGGTAGAATGGAATTCTCAGTTCATGGCACTTTAGATCCCCCTTCTTTTTGAAGGTTAAATTAGAATACTGAGGTGACTGTTTTAATGTTGAAATCCGTTTTTATTGCTTGAGTTTTACCTAGTGCAGCAGTCAATATCAATTCTGGACTTCTGCCACTTCATACTGAGTTATTATGTTGTCTGCTGCAGGAGTTGATGTAAGAGGGCCTTTCCTCATTTTCCTCTCTGTCTTTTACAAAAAGAAGGTCCTGACATCCTCTTCCCCATCAAGTCTTTGGTGCTGGACAAGCTATAGGCATCTTCAGCCTTCAGTTCCAGCTGGACTAGGGATGCACAGCCTTTAAGTCAGCAGCTCTCAGGGCCTTCCGTTTCTGGCAGTCTGACTTGATTTTTCTTACTTTGCCTTGTGGCTAGATTTGAATACCTACTTCTGGCTTTTACCAGAGGTACTGCAGAATAACTTTTTTCCCTCATTCTACAACTGCCAAAGTTTGGCTTCATATGAATTTTCCATCCCAGGAGAACCTTACCTGCTTTCTCGATGTCAGGGGTAATGTCAGTTGAGGCCATGTGGTCATCTCTTTGACTTTCTTCTTTACCCAGTCTTAAACCTGCATTTGTCTTACTTAATACCTTGATTTTAACATAATGAAAGTAGCTTTAAGTATCACATCACCTCTAATATTGACATAGTTACATATAGAAAATTTCTTTATTCATTCAGTTGGGTATGTGCTTTTGGCATGAGGAAATCATGTGGAACAGGATGAACAAAGTCCCTAAATCTTTACTGTTGTGGAACTTAAAATCGAAGTGGCTTAAATGGAAAATAAATAAGCAAACACAATCATTGTCAGAGTGCTCTGATGGAAATAGAGTAAGGAGATGGGCTGGAGTGGGTGGAGCTGCCATTCCACCTCACCGCTTCTTGTGTTCCCTGTAAAACTGTACTGAGATGCTTATTCTCAGTAGCTATGGTCTGTGAAGTGGCTTCTGAACTTCAGAATATGAGCCATTGCTTCTAGAGGAAGTGCAGGGTTAGGTTCCTGTCAGCCTCTGATCACCTTTTCATCAGATGATCAATAGATAACTTTGTTTTCTGTGTTTCTGTATAAAGACACCCCATTTCATGTATATTGTTGATTCATAGCGTTGAACTCAAGAACAGTACTATAACTCAGGCTTCAATCAAGCTTACCTAATACACGCTTTCTCCCCAGGGCATGTCACTGTCTTCTTGTGCTTCAGAACACTAGGCATCACTTTGGGATTATGCTTGGGGACCATTTTAAATAGCTAAATCATCAACAAAAAGTATGGCACTAGATATACTGCCAAAAGGACATGTGTTTACAGTGTGAGAGTTGAAAAAAGAAGGCAGAGTGTTGCCTTGTTTGACCTCCACTGGGAACGTGTGTTGGGTGGCTCAAGTTTTTTACTGTTCTGTGCATGTCCTCGAATGACCAGGAAAGTACTTTGAACATTGTTTTGGGGGGTTACAGATAAATTTTAGCAAGTAGGCAAATTCATATACATGGAGTTGAATTATGAAGATTGATTTTGTCAGAGTTATACAAATGACCTAGAGATAAAATGGCATCATGTAGAATTTCAAGGACTTCTTCCTTTTTGTGTGTATGTGTATAATGTATGCACATATGTTTGCAGGAGCACTGCTTATGCATGTGTGTATGGAGGCCAAGAGTGAGCATCAAGTGTTTTCCTCATTCACTGTCCACCTTACTTTTTAAGACAGGTCTCTTAGCTGACTAGTGAGCCCCTGGGATCTGACTCTCCCTGCCCCACGCCCCTCTCCCAGTGCTGGGATTGTAGAGCCTCCTCGCGTGCCTTTTACATGAGTGTTGGGGATCTGAACTCAAGCTCTCGTGCTTGCCTGGACATCTCACTCCCTAAGGCTTTTCCCCAAGGACTCCTAGTGGTGCTACTGAACCAAAATTTCTTTTGGCGGGGGTGGGTTGGTGGTGGCTTGGGACTGAACCCAGGGTCTCAAACATAGTAGGCAAGTACTATACCACTTAGCTACATTCCCAGCCCCCAGAATTTTAACACACACACTTAGAAGTCCCAGTTCCAGACTTTTAACAAAGTAAACTTGTGTATTGAGGATGTTGTGGTGATCCACAGATTCTTGAACACATCTTTATTGAGTATTTTCTATATGCCAGGCACTAACGTGGGTGCTAGAGATATAGTTGCCTTCCCTTGTGACGTGAAGCTTACCTTCTGCATGGTGAGATAGACAAAAACAACAGATCAAGACAGTTGTGCCCAGCGCAGCCTCTGTTTCCTACTTCGAGAGTCCTGGGTTTTAGTGTGTATCTACCTGTACCCAGTTACTCAGTCTGACAGTAGTGCCGGTACTACTGTATGGGGCTTTGACAGGTGCAGTCAAGTCTCAATCAGTTGATCTTCAGGTAGGTGAGCTTGATGTAATTGAACTAGCCCTTTAAAAGCAGATTTCCTAGTCCATTGCAGAAAAGGAAGTCAGAGATGCTTCAGCTGGCTTGGAAACAATCAAACATCCATGCTTTGAACTTCCCGTCCCAACATGCATGTGGCAGAGAACCACACACAGCCTGGGAGCTGAGAGTGGTCCCTGTCTGACAGCTTGGAGAAAAATAGGGAAATCAGTCATTCTCTTGCAAGGCAGTGGGTTTTGCCAACAACCATTGAACTTGGAAGAGGACCTAATCGTAGATGAGAAACTGACCTTAGCTGACCCCAGTCTTCGTGTGCTTGGACTTCTGACCTGCAGACACTGAAGTATCAAAGAGGTGTTCTTTTAAAACTTGGGGGAGGCAGTGAGTCAAACAGGGGCGCAAACTGAAGCAGCAGAGGAATGATGAGACATAATCCAGGATGGACTTGAAGGCTTGACCCAGTCACCTACCATCCCATTGCTGGGCCTTACATATGAAAGAAGGCCTGTAGTTAGTAGGTGGGAGGCTGAGGCTAGAGGCTCACCATGCGATCAAGGCTGGCCTGGAATTTCTGTGCTTTGGCGATTAGCTTGGGTTTGAGTTGAGTTTCTAAATGCGGAGAAGCCCCTTTGCCCTAGATCCTCAGGCAGTTGTCTTGGTAGGTGTCTACACTTGTAGTAGATAAGATTGAATCAGTTCATCATTGTTCATTTCTGATAGCCAGGAGCAGGCCTAGCCCAGAGCTGAATGCTGAGAGGGATATCCTTGCCCTTCAGCAATTTTACACACAACCTGACTTTTCTTCAGCTTGTTGGCGTTCCCACGGAAGTGCAAGCACTCAGAACCTTCTCATTGACCCAGGCACTGTGCTAAACTCTTGTGTATTTACTCCATGCAGCTGGTCATTGAGCACTCCCAGTTTTTCCCAGCTGTACCTAGGGCACAGGGAAGTTGAATGGTGGGTCAATCCCCTGTTGGTGAGACTCCAGAGCGTGTGTTCTAAGTAACTCTAAGTACTGTGCTCTGCTGCAGCCTCTGGTAACCACGAAAGTGTTTCTAACCTGGATATACCTCAGTTGTCCTTTACCTCTGTTCTGGTTTGTTCTTCATTGCTGTGACAAAATACTCTGACCACTGCCAACTTGGGGAAGAAAGGGTTTATTTAGGTTCTATCTCCCAGGTCGCAGTTCATCAGGGAGCCCAAGGTAGGAACTCAGGGCAGGAACCTGGAGGCAGGAGCTGGAGCACAGGCCATGGAGGAATGCTGCTTACTGGCTTGCTCCCCTGGCCCCTGCTCAGCCCGCTTTCTTATGCAACACAGGCCCACCTGCCCAGGGATGGCACCACCCACAGTGGGCTGGGCCCTCCCACATCACTAATCAAGAAGATGCCCCTCAGACATGGCCACAGGCCAGTCCAATAGAGGAAATTCCCCGATTGAGGCTCCCTCCACCCAGGTGTGTCAAGTTGACACTAAAGCTATCCAGCACAACCTCCAGCTACAGTAGGGCTTCACTTTGGAAAGTGTGCAGTCTCTCTCAGGTCCCACTGCTCTTCTGTGTTTTGAAGCCCAACTCCAGGTCCCTAAGGTTGGCATCACCAGTCTGATTTGGTCCTGGCCTTCTTGCTGTCCTCACCTCTGACTGGAACCTTGGTTCTGCCTTTGGCGTTCGTCCTAGTTGCCTTGTAGTTTTCACAGTGCCCTGCCTTCCCTGTCCCTTCTCTCTGGAATGCTTTCTCACAGCTTCTCTCTCTAATCTTAAATCCAGCACCTCCAGTGTAGGATTTTTGTCCTTTGTGTTTTCACTCAGTGATGCTTCTTCTCGTATTTTAGTACTGAAGGGTCACTTGGCTTACCATTCTGGCCCTTCTGCCTTCAGATGGTGGGTACCCTGGCTGGTCATACAACCTGTATGTTTTCCATCCTTCAGGTAAAATCCCAATTAAATAATTCCGCTTCTGTCCTGCTGTAATTTATTTCCTTTTATGTATTTTGTTTGTTTGTTTGTTTGAGACGGGGTCTGCCAGCTGGCCTTTGTAGACCAGGCTAGGCTTGATCTCATAGAAATCTACCTGCCTCTGCCTCCTGAGTGCTGGGATTCTAAAGTGCCACCATGCCCAACTATGTGGGGTTTTTTGTTGTTGTTGTTTGTTTTTGTTTTTTTTTTTAAGCAAGGTCTCGTGTAGCCCTAGCTGTCCTGGAACTCACTGTGTAGACCAGGCTGGCCTCGAACTCACAGAGATCTGTCTGCCTCTGCCAGGACTACAGGTGTGTGCCACCATGCCCAGCCCAACTGTGTATTTTTTAAAAATCTCACTCATTCAAAAATGCAGATGTTTGTGAGTTACATGAAACATAGTGATCTCTCTTCCTGTCTGTCCATTTCTGTACCACATGTCCATTTGATTCCAGCCAAATGAACTTGATCTGAGCCTCATAAGTTTTAGAGTCTTGCTTGATTTTGTTTGTCTCTCCCTCATTGTCCCGGGTTTCTGAAACAGTCATTCCTATCTCTTCTCCCTCAAAGCTAAGGCATTCACTACTCTCTACTTAGCCATAGTATAGTAAATAGGTCAGGAAGAAAATACCAGTGATGGACATCCTCCCCCACTCTAATGAGCCAGAAGTGTGTCTACTGAAGTGCAGCAAAGAGAGAAAGCAGTGGCTTACATGTTTATTATAGACTAAGTAAAGGAGAAATAAGCAGGGTACTGGAAGATAGTTTACATATGACAGCAAGCTGGGCGTGGTGGCGCACGCCTTTGATCCCAGCACTCGGGGGGAGGCAGAGGCAGGTGGATCTCTGTGAGTTCAAGGCCAGTCTGGTCTACATAGTGAGTTCCAGGACAGCTGGGGCTGCAGGGAGACCCTGTCTCAAAAAGACCCCCCCCCCAAAAAAAATAAATATGACAGCAGATTCTGTGTGCTTAAGACTTGGAAACTTTGGACACATTTCATGGTGATGCCTGCAGAGCTTTACCTTGACATTCTCCTGGGCTGCAGGTGGGCCCTTCTGTGATGTTCAGGTATTTACAGTCAGTCATAAATTAAACTGTAGTGACAGGTCTCCTTAGCATAAACATCAAACATCTCTTTTGAGTGAGAACAAAGCTTTCATTCTCTAGACTTGCAGCTTAAAGTTGAACTTGTTTAAACAGCTCTCTAGGGTTGGGTTTGTCTCCAAGTAGATCTCAGAAAGCAATTCATAGAATGGGTGTAGTGTGGAGCTGGCTTTTCAAACACCTTTCTCTTATGCAAGCCCCATTTCAAGATCTTTTCCCAGATTGGAATGAAATGCTAAGTTTATCAAGCATCTTATTGTTAAATCTTTGGGGCTCTCTCCCCATACAAATAATTCTTCCTTTATTAAGTCAGTTATATTTTTTCATAAGTGCTTTATACTACCACTTTTTTTTTTCTGGATACCACCAAGTACTTAGGTAAAGTTTGACTTTTATAGCTCTCAAATATTCGAGCTTTTTGGTTTTTTTATATATATTTATTTTTATTTTATTTTTTAATTGTATGTGTATGAGTGTATTGCCTGCATGTGTGTAAGTACACCCATGTCGTGCAATGCTCACGGAAGTCAGAAGAGGGCGTTGGATTCCCTGGAACTGGAGTTACAGATGGTTGTTAGCCTTCATGTAGGTGCTGGAAAATAGGATCCTCCAGCCTTGCTTGACACATCTCTGCTGATGCTACTAAGTGATGCTCACATTTTATGAATTTAAAAATTCAGTTACAGTTACAGGTGTTCTAGGCCATTAAATTTGTTTGCTTGCTTCTTTGTTTGAGACAGGGTCTCCCTGTAGCCCCAGCTGGCCTGGAACTCCCCATGTAGACCAGGCTGGCCTTGAACTCACAGAGATCCGCCTGCCTCTGCCTCAAGAGTGCTGGGATTAAAGGTGTGCACCACCACACCTGGCTTTACTATAATATTAAAACCTAATTTTGATGATCATGAAAGATGAAAATGGGACTTTGTGGGAGATAAACAGTAGCATGTGATTGCTTTGCTAATGCAAAATTTTTCTGTTTAGAGTAGTGACAATGTTGGGCAGCCTGTGTGAGTCCCCAGTCACTGCCTTCTCTTTTATCCCCCAAATTAACCAAGTATTACCTTGATTTTGTGACAGTTCGCGGCCAGATACCTCCACTTCTCATGTCCAGTTTGTGATTTTCATAAACATTTTGGCAGTATTCTAGATCTGTAGCTATTTTTTCTTTTCTTTTTTAAAGCAATGGAGAAAATGGCAGTGTAGGGGAATGGGGATGTAACTCAGTTGGTAGAGTGCTTGCCTATCATGCAGGAAGCCCTGGGTTCCTCATAAAATCAGATTTGTGGCGCATACCTATAATCCCAGTATTAAGGTGGAGAATCAAAAGTTTAAGGTCATCCTTGGTTTCATAGCAAGTTTGAGGCCAGCCTAGACTATGTGAGAGCCTGTTTCAAAAATAAAATAAACATGGCAATCTAGAAGTGCATGTGAACTTATTAACTGAGATCTATCAAGCATAGAGCTGGTCTGATTCAGTATTACTCAGTTCACCAGATACTGTGCTAGACAGAGACCAGCCAGAAAAGGATGGATGGAATACTGGTTTTCCTCCTTGTGGCATCAGAGTCCTGTGGAAGATTTCTGTGGAAGACCTAGAGAGAGCACACTTGGAAAAGCTCTGCCTCCAGGTCTTTTTCCTGTGAATTTATGATAGTTTTAAATTGTGAAAAAATACATATAACAGAATTCATGTATTTTAACCTTCATAATGTACAAACCATCACTACTATGTAATTCTAGAACCTT